CAGCAGATGAGTAGTAGTGGAAGATAGCACTGCAATACTAGTCAAGCGGGTCGCGCTGTCCACAGCCCTTAGGGGGTTCGGCGGAGTGCGGGGGGGGAGAGGCGGGGGGAGGTGGCGAGAGGGGAGGGAGTTAGCGAGAGAGGGGGGGGGAGGGGGGGGGGGAGGGGGGGGAGAGAGTGGGGGGGAGGGTGGGGGGGGGGGGGGGGGCCTTGGTCAGCCGTGTCGTCATCGGGCACTCGAGCAAGCCGCTGTGCTGCGCGCCTTAAGGGGCGAGCGGGGCGCCGCGGCTGAGTTGCTGCTGCGGCCCTCACTGCTACCCCCGCCGCTCCCGCCCGCTCCGCTGCTGCTGCCCTCGCTGCTACCACCCGCCGTGTGCCGCGCGCCTTTAGGGGCGAGCGAGGCGCGCGGCAGCGGCCCCGCCACAAACGGGGGAGGCACCGGCCCGGTGAGGTCCATGGCCTCGCGGTTCCACGTGTCGATGTTCATGGGCGTGATCTGGAGCTGGGCGGGCGAGTCGACGACGAGCGCGTACCTGGAGGGTTCCGAGAAGGTCCCGAGAGGGTTCCGAGAGGGCTCCGAGAAGGTTCCGAGAAGGTTCCGAGAGGGGTCCGAGAGGGTTCCGAGAGGGCTCCGAGAAGGTTCCGAGAGGGTTCCGAGAGGGCTCCGAGAGGGCTCCGAGACGGTTCCTGGCAGGGTCCTCTGGCAGGGTGCTCTAGCAGGGTCCTAGCAGGGTCCTAGCCGACGGCGAGCGCGTACCCCGGTGCGAAGCCGTGCAGCGTCTTGCGGAACTCGCCTAGAAGGTTCCTAGAAGGTTCCCAGAAGGTTCCTAGAAGTAGCCGTGCCGCGTCTTGCGGAACTCGCCTAGAAGGTTCCTAGAAGGTTCCCAGAAGGTTCCTAGAAGGAGCCGTGCCGCGTCTTGCGGAACTCGCCGCCGTTCCCGGACGTCAGGGCGGCGTGCGTGGGGTGGCCTCGCACCTGATCAAGCCACGCGCCGCGTCGGGGACGCGTGTCAGGGGACTGTCAGGGGACTGTCAGGGGACTGTCAGGGGACGTGTCGGGGGACTGTCAGGGGACTGTCAGGGGACGCGTCGGGGACGTGTCAGGGGACTGTCAGGGGACGCGTCGGGGACGTGTCAGGGGACTGTCAGGGGACGTGTCGGGGACGTGTCAGGGGAGGGGTCGGGGACGTGTCAGGGGAGGGGTCGGGAAACGCTGCTCCAAAGGGGGTAGATGGACGGGGCTGGCGCGCGCCGACCACTCCGGCCCCTCCACGACGTACTGCGGCTGGTCCCAAGGCAGCTCCGCGCCGCAGCCGGAGCGACGGCCAGCGAGATCCGCGGCGGCCGGGTCGTCTGGGCCGGAGAGGGAGACCTTGCGCACACGCGCCTCGGCGCCGATCAGCCAGCTGTCCCAGTGGTGGTTGTATGACGCGCTCATCGGCACGGATTTCTCCACGCCCTCAGACGTGCGGCGCACTTGATCGACTTCCCATCCGACCAGCGCCATCGCCGTCCCGTTGTAGCGCCGGACGATGTCGGCCGGCAGGTCGACAGGCGGGAGGGGCGACCACCAGACCTGCGAGTAGAGAGTGGTCATCGGCGGCGAATAAACCTCAAATGACTCGACGCCGCCGGGATAGTCGGCGAATCGCTTGATGTGGCTGGCCTTCCCGCCGGGCGTCTTTGAGAGCGGGTACTCTCCGTTCATGTTGTCTTGGTGTGATGGGGCAAAGCCTTGCATGGGCGTGCCAGCGGCGACAGAACCCAGCGTCAATCCAGCCATCATCGCAAAGTCGCTAGCGAACTCGGGGGGCAAAATTTCTTTTTTCCTGACCGGGGCGCCCTTTTACTTCTTTTGTCAGAATTCTTTTTTCGAAGCCAGCGCGGGAGGCAGCAAGAGAGAGGCGCTCAGCACCCGCAACCCCGCCCGTTTGCATGCCCGGCCGAACTAAGGCTGGCTCGGCCGCCTCCCGGCGCGGGCACGCTTCAACGGCGGCTACTGCTGCGCCGCTCGCGCTGCCGAAAAGGATTGCAAGGGCGGCTCAGGACGGCAAGGTCGACGAGGTGCAGCTGTGGCTCGGCGGGGCTGGTCGGGTTGACGCGACGTGCGTGCTTCGCGGCGTGAGTGGCTGCACGCTCCTGCTGATCGCCGCCGAACACGGTCACAAGCAGCTCGTTGAAGTGCTGCTGAAGCGCGGCGCGGAGGCGGACGCGCGAGACAGCGAAGGCTGTACGGCGCTGATGGCCGCCGCCCTCTCGGGCTACGTGCAGGTGGTCGAGATGCTGCTGCGGCACGGCGCACGGATGAATCTGCAGGACCGCAAGCACGGCGTCACCGCGCTGATGGCCGCCGCCAAAGGCCACGAGCGCGTGGCCGACATGCTGCTTCAGCACGGCGCGGAGATCAACCTGCAGGCCAACAACGGCGGCACCGCGCTGATGGCCGCCGCCCTCCACAACCGTCCCGCTGTGGTGCTCCGCTTGCTGCGGGCGGGCGCTGACATGACGCTGCGCACCGCGGCGGGCAAGACGGCGCTGCAGATCGCCAAGGAGGAGGGCCACGCCGAGTGCTACGAGGCCTTCAGGACGTATCTTGGGGAGGTGGCGGCAGCTCGGAGCAAGGCGCCGTCGGCCGAGGCGGGCGGCGCAGGGGCGGGCGGCGTACCCGCAGGCGCGGCGGCGGCGGGCGCCAGTGCTGCGATTTCTGCTTCGAGCGGCGAGGGCGGTGCGGAGGCCGCGCCGGGCAGCGAGGCAGTGCCAGAGGAGGTCATGCTTGCGGCTGAGCGAGGAGACGAGTCGCCGGTGCTGGCGTGGCTCGACGGCGGCGGGCGGGTCGACACGACGTTCGAGTGCGTCTTTGGTGACGGCTCTCGTGCGAGCGGCATGACGCTGCTGATGCTCGCAATGGCCAATGGCGACGAGGGGCTGTGATCGGCGGCAAGCTGCTCCTCGGGCAGGCGGGCGTGGAGGTACCCGTGTGGGCAGTGGTGAGTGCTGTGACGGCCTGGAGATTGCTTGTGATGTGTTACATCGCTTGCAGCAGTCGACGAGGCGCCACAGCCGCAGAGGGTGGAGAAGAGAAGCAGCAGAAGGGTGGGGCGGACGATGAAGGGGCCTGCGACTCGCCAGACACGTCTCCACGGCCGGCCATCAAGGGGGAGCTGAGGGCGGCCAAGGACGTCGAGAAGGACCATCTGCTCGCATGCTAGTGAGTCGGCTGAGCGGAGTTCGTTGCAGTCTCGGATCGAGCGACGAGCCGCGGATAGACAGCAGATCGACGCGTGAGTGAGCCGTCGAGCGGGTCACACGTGACACGTCTGCCCACTGTGAGCACTGTCACACGTCAGTCGTCACACCACAGACCGTCGAGTCTCGAGAAACCCGTCGCCCGTCGTGAGATGCCTCGGAGCTCTCCTGCCAACTCCTGACTCCTCAGGCACCTGAATCCTGATACAGGACTCCTGTGTCACAGCCCTCGGCCCTGACACTCGTCACTCTCTCACTGGACACTGCGTGAGTGTCACGATGACACAACGCTTGAAAAACCATTCTGACGAGCCTCCGAGCATACTTGTGTGGACGTTTCGGGCTCCCATCCCCCGCCCCGGATCCGTGGGCGATCGCACACGCGGCTGGGGGGCACGGCGCGAGGTGCCAGGTGGCGCTTACCACTGAAAAGGAGGTTTTGGAGCCCCTAAAAGCGTCATAATAGCCGCACGTTTGCACTCGCCGTGCCTTGCCATCTCCGAGCCGCGCCCCCTCCTTCAGTTTTAAGGCGAATCGGGTGCCGAACTCGGCGTCGACAGCTTTGGCTCGACATCTTTACCATTTTGGCGAGAAACGCATAAGCCGCCCCAGCGAAATGGCCGATACGGCCGGAATCGGAGGCGGCGCCGGGGCGGCTTATGCGTTTCTCGGGGTCGTGTGGTTTAGCCGGATATCGACCTGGTGTCCCGTGGGGAAGGTATTGAACTGCCTTAAAACGGAAGGGCACGTCCTGTTCACGCGATGGCCAGCCGTGGTGTGAGCCCGAAGGGTCGGCGAGTCGGCACAGGCCAGCAGAGCCCTTGGTCAATTTGGCTCTGACGCCGTGCCAGTAGTCGGCGCGCCGCGATCTGCATACCTGTTTGTACCTCTACAGTAGTGCGGCCACGTGTATTGCTGTTCGGCGAGCCGCGTTCCGCTCTCTCGACCGTGAGGCCAGTTGGCGGGCGCCTAAAGAGCCTGGTTTGTGCGTCGAGCGGTGAGCTCACAACAGACACCGTCCGAGCCCGATGTACGCCAGGCGTCTCATTCCAAGCCCACTACGCATTCCCACGCGCTCAGGCGCCGCTCGAACCCCACCTCTTTGAGCCGGTTACCCCGCGGCAAGGCAACTCGGCGCTCTAGATGTGCGCGCTAGGCAGTCTCAACGCCGATTACTGCCGAGCGCGCACGACTCGTAGGCGTACCGGCGTGCCGCTGGCGTACTACGCGACGGTGGAGGCGCGTGGAATTGCTCAAAATGCATGCATCTGTCGGAGAGCGTGCCGCAAGACCTGATGTGCCTCCGCTCCAGGTGTGTGGCAGTTCGATGGATCCAGCCCAGCGACCTCTACGTGACGATTGAGGACTGCTCTTCCCCTTCGGCCGAGCCTCCAGTCCCTGCCACCGTGCACTGGCGCCAGCGAGCTCCATTCAGATCCCGCACGCGCGATCGGCAGTCGAGTTACAACCCGCAGCTGTGCTGTGTGCGCGCGCACTCGAAACGTGGTTCGGCGATCTCTCGGCGACCACTCGTCGACTCGCGCCCAGACGCGAGGTGCGTGCTCGCCCGGTCCCCCGTGAGGGGACTAGGCCATTTTTAGCGAGATCGGGGAAATCACTCTCATCGCCCGCCGCTCACGCTTCCCTCCCTCTCCCGCGCCGCCGTCTCCGGTCCTAGCCTGCGATACATTGAGACCTCACGCCCCGCGACTGTCTTCCACGCTCGCAGGCGGGCCTATCCGCCGTGCCACTCCATGCATGATCATCGCTGGGGGCAGCGGTGCTCGTGCGACTGCGGATTCGGCCTCACCTCACGCCCTCTGGCCTGCAGCTGCACGTTGCCGGGCGCCATTCTCGAGCCCTCTGGCGAATGGGCCCAAATCCGGGCTCTGAGCACGCCTACTGCTGACGATCTATGTAGCTAGTGCGGTGGGGTCTGGCGCAGGTGCGCGAGACCGTCGCCACAGGGGGGGGCGCGCGATTATGTGGGCGCTCCGAGGGGGCGAAACCGCGTGTTCAAGGGAAACCAGGCGAATTGCGCCCCCAAAATGGTCCTGAACGGCTCCAACGACCTCCCCAACACCCGAGGTGCACGACACGACCGCTTGTTCGAACATTAGCGACACAAGTATTTATTCCTGTGGGTTGTGTCATCGTGGAGTGTGACTCGTGACTGTCTTCTCAGGCACACTAGGCGTGAGAGCGATCTTAGTTCGCTTACGGCTTACCGTCTTCGGCCACACCTAGGGCCTGTCCGTACTGTACCATTTTGCCTCTAATATACATGCAACCACCCTCTCCACGACAGTCTGGCAAGAGGACTGTCGCTTTTGCACACGCACGCGTCTCTTTCACGCGTCTCTCACTCTCTCTCCACACATCGTACATGCAGCGACCAGTAGTCGTCGAATAGGGAGGGAGAGGGACTCACGTCAGACCAGGTGGGAGCCAGCGGCTCGGAAAGTGCTCCTCGGACTCGCAAGACCTGGTCTCGTCGTCGTCCTGCTGATCTTGCGTCAGCGGCCGAACCGTCGACGACGGCACTGATAGCGGCGGTGGGAAGCCGCTCGACGAGGAGCTGAGCGGCGGCAGCAGTGACTGCATCGGGACGGATGGAGGAAAGGCTGCGCCAACAACTGCGGGTGTCAAGCGCAGGCGGCCCGCGAGAGAGGTGGCCAGCTGCATGGCGGCGTCGTCTGTCAGGTGCGGCACCTCAGCGGCCGGGCGATCCCGGCCCTGGGGACATGCCGAGCAGTATATGCGTTTGAGCTTCATGATCTTGCGCGCGTCGGTTCTCGTCAACTCCGGATACTGCTGCCGCAGTCCCTTTATCGTGAGGGAGCACTCGCTGCAGCCAACACAAATCCGGTCGAGCACCAAGAGCAGCGGATGGATCCCGGGCGGATGCTGGTGGTGCGCAGAGCTAGGCCGCTCCGCCGGTGCGGCGAGGTGTGGCGAGTACCGCACACACGGAGCGCTCTGCCCGCAGTGAAGCGAGGGCGCAGGGGAAAGGTCGGCCATTTTGCGGATCGTGTGCAGGCTTCATGCACACGATCCGCAAACCTTCGTCTCGGGATTGTACTCTATGCCGACACTCGGGCCGTAGTTGGTGTCCTCGCAGTCCGGCACGACTGGTACAGTGACATGCTGCGCTTTGTCGGGCGTTCCGCCACCAGCAGACAGAGTGCCCCAACCTGCCGTTACGAGGTTAGTCCCGACTTCGTGCCACGTGTTGTCGCCAGGCTGGTCGAGGTCGATCAGTGCGTACTCGCTTGGCCGTTGCAGCTTAATGAGGGTGATGTCGTTGTCCATCGTGTCTGCTCAGAGATTATACTGTCAGTAGTGCGCTGCATAACCGGAACCTTCTCTGCTACAACCGAAAGCTCGATGCCTGCATTGTAGAGGGCGTTTGGAATAATCGACTCGATATTGATCGTCTCCGTGCAGTCGTCGCCAGCCTCAAACTTGCTCATGGCGTGCCCGCCGAGTAGAACCTAAGAGGGAGGGGAGTTGATGGTCAACGTGCAAAGCAGGAGGTGACTGGCGCAGTCGGCCGCGTACTCGCTCGAAGTTTGTCCCGCAATGCGCGGCAGTGAGTACCCACTGCGGGTGGATGAGCACCGCACCGCAGTAAGACTGGCCCCAGAAGTCCTCCTCCGCTATGTACACCAGGAACGGGTAGAGACGAGGATCCACCTCGGTGCCGCCAACAATCATCGGAGATATGACTGGGGGAGCTTTCGCCGACCGCTGCTTGGACAGGTCAACAAAACACCGCTTGCCTCCTTGACGTTCGCGCGCTCACTCGAGGCCGAGGCGGCAAAGCGAGGAGCGGAGCACTGCATCCTCTACATCCACGGGTACAAAGTCTCGATTGGTGGTGCCCTCGAGACTGTGGATACGATGAACAAGAAGTCAACGGGCGCTTTTGTTGTCCCAATCATCTGGCCGGCGGAAGAGTCTTTCATCGATAACGATAACTTGGCCGTGACCTATCCGCAACAGAAAGCAGACGCGCCAGGCGCCGCGAGGGCCCTGCGGATCCTCCTCAAGAAGCTTGGGGACGCCAACATCACTCTCCCCATCTCGGTGATGGCTCACTCCATGGGCAACTACTTGCTGGGGCAGTTTGCTCCCGATGCAGACGAGACGCCAGCTTTCGTCTTCGAGAACATCTTCATGGTCGCCGCCGACATCCGCGCGTCCACCTTTGACGCAAGTGAGCCAGAGGCGCGAGGCGCCGGCATTGTGCGCATCGCCAAGAACAAGATTCATATCCTCCACAACCGTGAAGACAAGGCCTTAGTGGCGCGAGAGTACTTGAACAGCTGGCGTAGTGCCCTCGGGCTGGTCGGACTTTCTACGACGGACGAGTCTCAGCTCATTGGCAAGGATATGCTCGTGGTCAAGGACTGCTCCGAGTGGACTTCTCTTCTCGCTGGTGACTTCCTAAGTCACAGCTACCAGGCAACGGAAGAAGCCATGGACTACTACCTCGAGTCGCTTGCCGGCCCCGGCGCACGTAAACGTAAACTGCGGGACTTGGTTGACCATGCCTAAGGAGGACTGCCCGCTGCCGAGCCCAATGAAACGGGAATGGCGCGCACTGGCCTTTGAACGATCTCGGTGTCGAAGCACCGCTCTGGTGTCGGCGGCAAATATAAAAAAAGAAATCGCGCGCGACCCGCGCGCGCGGCCTGAAGCCGCGCAAGAGACATCTGTGTATGTACGCGGGGGGCGCGGACGGCGCTTCCGGTTCCGCGGGCGAGGCGGCCTCTTCCGGCTCACCGGGCAGCCTTTCCGAAGAGGCCGGGCAAGCGGCTGTGCGAGGCGACGAGGCGAAGAAGCTGCTGACGTGGCTTGACAGCGGCTGTCTCGTTTTCTCGGCGGAAACGATTGCATCCGTGTGAGTCCGGCGAGCGCTGGCAGAGTCTGGGAAGTATAGTTGGCAGATACGAGGCCGAAAATTTTCGAACACGGTCGGAACAGGGTTGAATCAGGGTCGGAACACATGAGCTGCCCCACACACGGGCGTACGGCCCTTTTTCCCGACCTTGATCCGACCGTGTGATCCGACCGTGATCCGACCTGCTCCGACCGTGCTCGAACAGGGGTCAGCGGCGGCGGGAGGTAGGGATTTTCCCAATTTTGTTCCGACTCGGGTCCGACCCTGATCCGACCGTGTTCGAAGTGAGCACGGTCGGATCAGGTCGGTGTTCGAGAGAGGTGTGATCAGGGTCGGAACAGGTAGGTCAGAGTCCTACCCTCCTCTCTGTGTTCTGCCGTGCTGGTCCTGGGACACCCTGCCTCACTGCCCCGCCCCCCATGCCTCGATCTTCTTGGGCAACAGCTGGTTCGACAGGTCCTCTCCATGGCCTAGGCAGCTGTGGTCGCCCTTGCCCCAGGTAAAGACAGCGCCATCGGGGGTGAGGGCGAGGCTGTGGTCGCATCCAGTCGACACAGCGACGACGCGCTGCTCAGCAAAGGCCTCGACCTGCTTCGGCAGTAGCTGCCACTGCTGGTCGCCATGGCCCAGCTTGCCATCGTCTCCTCCACCCCAGCTCCAGACGGCGCCGTCGGCGGCGAGGGCGAGGCTGTGGTACCATCCAGCCGACACAGCGACGACGCGCCGCCCAGCCAAGGCCTCGATCTTCTTCGGCAGCGGCTGGCGCTGATGGTCGCCGTGGCCCAACCTGCCAAAGACTCCATAGCTGCTGCCTGGCTCCCTGCCATCACCGCAGCAGCAGCTGCCCGGCTTCCTGCCAAGCAGCAGCCACGCTGCATCCCCGCCGGCGGCGCCACGCCGCATCAGCAGCGCTCTGAGTGAGTCAGGCTGCGCTGCACAGCCTGCTGAGCGCGCTCCCGACGAGCGCCGCGCCCCGCGGGCCCGCCGCAGGCCACGCGGGCGGCGAGCCGATGCGCGTGTCGTAGGCGTAGGCAGCGCTGGCGAAGCGAGGCGGCCGGCGCCGGCCCCCGCAGGCGGTTGCAGCGAGAGGATTGAGGTAAAAGACACTGTTGAAAGGTTGGAGAGCAGCCTGCCGTCGAGCAGCACGCCGCGCAAGCCCGCCGCCGGCGACCCGATCGGAGAGCTCGTAGTCATGGTAGCATTCAGCGCGCCATCTCGCCCGAGACGGCCCGCTCTGGCCCTGCCGGCCTTCCCAGACACCTTGTCGAGGCTGTACAGAGTGCCGAGAGCATGCTGGGCAGGCTCCCGTCGAGCGACGAGCCATGCTGGCTCGTCGCGGGAGGCTGCCCCCGTGTGCGGGGTAACCCGCGCACAGGGAAGCTTCATGGGTTCGAGTCGTCAAACATTTAGCAGCGGTGTGCCGAGGGGGACCGGGAGGCGGTAAGTCGTCGTTGCCCGGCGCTGCTTGCAGCGCCATGGCGATGGCGCTAAGAGGTTCCTCTTTTCCGCGCCCCCCCCCCGCAAGGCGCGCGATACACGTCGCGAGCTCGAAGTACGAAGACCCGCGCGGAGCGTCGCCGAGCCTGGCGGGCCAGCACGCACGCCCGCGGCCGCAGGCAAGGAAGGCGAGCTTCCTGGCGTCTATGCCAAGCGCGCGCATGCCAAAAGACACCTCGCAGCGCGCGTGACGTGTGACCGAAGCGGCACGCCTCGGCGCCGCGAGAGCAGCCGGTCGACGTCGGCACCAAGCGCTCGGCAGCAGTAGAGAGCACCACCATACCGGGAGCCAGTCGGCGCAGCGGCGGCACGCGGCGGCAAAACGCACGACGCTCACCTCATGGAGATGCTGCGGCTTTGGCACCTCCTGATATAATGCTGATTTTTTGCTGAGCGGGGCGGAGGCACGCGGGCGGCGGAGGCGGCGGCGGACGACGTCTACTTCCCCTGTGGTAGCTTAGCGATCAGGGAGGATCTACCTGTTCGGCCTCGAGGAAGCTGCTGGGGGAGAGGGGGGGAGAGAGGAGAGGAGGAGAGGGGAGAGGATGAGAAGAGGAGAGGAGAGGAGAGGAGAGAGGAGGAGAGAGGAGAGAGGAGGAGGGGGAGAGGAGAGAAGAGGTGGGGGGTGAGAGGGAGGGAGGGAGGGAGGGAGAGAGGGAGGAGAGAGAGAGAGGAGAGCCTTTGAGCCTTGGCACCAGCCAGGCAGTTGATTTGGCCCTGGCACCAGCCTTGGCAGTTGGGTTGGCCTTGGCACCAGCCTTGGCGGGCGGGCACGCGGGACATGCACAGGCGCCAAGGGGCGCGGCGCCGACAATCACGGCGGTGATTGCGGCGCAGGTGGGGGGACGGGAAGTCCGTCGGCGTTGCCGGGGGCCCAAGGAAGCGCGAGGGAAAAATTCCGCCGCTGAGGGCGCTCGTGCGGCAATAGCCGGGTGGAGGGGGGAGCGTGCCGGACGGGGCGTCGTCGCGCCGTCCGATGGTCTGCTGCCCCGCGCAGCAACCGTCGGGCGACGACCCGGGGGCCAAAAACCCGGCGACGACGGCGCTCTGGATGGGGCGTGACCTCCTGCCTCCAACCTCCTTCCTTTTTGAGCAGGTGTGACGCCGCGCGAGCGACGCTCCGAGATCGCCCGAGATAGCGCGGCGCGGCCCCGAGATCGCCCGAGATAGCGCGAGATCGCCGAGATAGCGCGGCGCGGCCCCGAGATCGCCCGAGATCGCGCGAGATCGCCCGAGATCGCGCGGCGCGGCCCGGGGCGGGGTGGATGGGTTGGGAGCGAGGGGGCGGAAGTGTTCAGTGCGGTAGATGGTAAGCTCGAGGCGCGTGAGCCGGACCTGTGAGCCGGACCACCCCCTCTTGTTATCTGCGTTGTTGAGCCAGGACTCAACATACTCGGGCTTACTCATCCCAAACTGTCACTCCCCTTTCTCCCGGCCGGGGTGGGGCGCGCGCGCGGGGGCGGCGGGTGTGCGGCGGGTGTGAGGGATGTCTGTGAGCCCGAGAGCGATATGCCCTGTCCGCCTTGCGTTGTTTCATAACACGAAGGCTAAGCTCATAAAAGAAACACGTGTTTGGTCAGACACAAGCAGCAGAAGCCTGCGAACCTTCATCAAGCGATGCCTGCTCTTCTTCGGCGCGCAGAGTCCACCACCTGTGTTCTCGCTCTCCGCAGCCCCAACAAACGCGGCTTTGGAGCGCTTGATGACATGCGAAAGCCGCCGACCCTTCGCCGGGTGGCGTCGCTCGACGCTTTCGAGCGCCACGTTATAATTCGCCTTTCCCGCACGCCTGAGGGCAGCCCCTCGCCGTACCCGCCGTCGGCCCCGTCGCTGCGCGCTCAAACGATGACGACCATGCCGCCGCCGATGAGCCTGCCGCCGCCGCTCGCGTGCCCTCTGCCAACCGCACCACGGCTCAGCCCGACGCTCAACACTCGGCTCCCTGCCTCCCTGGCACTACCTCCGCCGATGTTGCGCGACCGACAGCCGCTGGTGCCGCTCGCGGTGCTGTGATTGCCCGCTGTCGCCTCTTGTAGCTGCTGTGCACGGCGGGCGCTTGCCTGCCGGGCTGATCGATTGCCATCACACTCTCCGGTCTCGAGAGTCGCCACCTGCTAGGTGCGGGCGCCGCGCTTTTGGGCCGTGTATCCTCACGATGTACATGTGGCATGTGTTGCTCTCGTCTTAGCGAGCGCGTCTGTGTGCTGCTGATATGTATCCATGCTTCAGATCTCGAATAGTCCGAAAATCACACCGACCGCGGCCGCGCCCGGCGCGCCGGCGGCGCCGGGCCGCTCGGTGTGCTTCTCGCTGCGCCGGCACGACGAAGCGGACGATCGACGGATGAGGAATGTCCGGCACGCTGGAGTGTGGAGAACGAAGGGGGCCGCTTTCTCTCCCTGCAGGCGGCTCTAGTCGGGAGGGAGGGGCAGGCGACCGCGCCCGGACTGTATACATTTCCCATCACAGGGAATTTCACAAGAGACCTATGAGCTATGTCCCACCCCGCTGCTCCCCCGCCCCCCCCCCCCCCCCAGTCCCGCCCTGTTGCCCGTCGAGCAACCCCCATTGCCGTAGCACCTCAAAACACGACGACGGTCGCGGCGCTGGCCACATTGAGCGAGTTCTTCACCCCAAAGGTCGGGATCTCGACGATGCCGTCCACGGCGGCCAGCACGTCCGTGTCGACGCCGATCTGCTCGTTGCCAAGCACAAGGGCGACGCCGCCGGGCGGAAAGGCGACCGTGCTGTAGGCCTGCGATCGCTCCGTCGTCTCCATCGCGTACACGGCGACTCCGCCGGCCTAGTACCATACCCTCCAGAGTCTCGAATCCGGTATGGGCACCGTCCCGTGGCTGTAGGGTGAGGACGCGGCGACTCCGCCGGCCTGCAGCGCGCGGACGGCCTAAAAGGAGATCGACGACGGCGCTGAGGTGGCTCGTCCTGCAAAACGGGAGCGTAACGGGTGGGTCCTGCAGAGGGAGTGGTGAGGTGAGGTAAGGTGAGGCCAGGTACACTTCTCCACACACACACGAGGTGGTGGGGCAAGGGCCAGGCGGCCCTCGCGACTCCACGTCTGACGTCAGGAGCCGCACGGCATTCAAAGTGCAAGGCCCGGTGCGCGTGGGCGAGCGGTGTGTGTGTGTGTGTGTGTGTGTGTGTGTGTGTGTGTGTGTGTGTGTGTGTGTGTGTGTGTGTGTGTGTGTGTGTGTGTGTGTGTGTGTGTGTGTGTGTGTGTGTGTGTGTGTGTGTGAGTGATGAACAGACGAGAAGGGCCGGTGCGCTGTGAGCAGAGAGAGTGAGTGCGCTGGGGTATGAGAGAATGAGAAAGTGCTTTGGGAGCAGGCCTGAAGTGTCGACTGTGCGTGGCGCGTCGGCACCGACTCGATCGCACCAAAGGCCTAAGATACGGCCAGGTCAGGTAGACTTCTCCACCTACCCTACCCCCACGGTCACCGAACCCACACCGAACAGCGGTGGAAGAAAAGACGGCAATAGCAGATGCGTGCATGCTCGCCCCGCGGCGTGGAGTGTGCTGACCTCCCTCGCCCTGAGTGTGCTGCGGTGTGCGTGCCCCAATCCGAGTGTGCTGCGGTGTGCGTGCCCCAATCCGACGCACATTGCGGCTCCTCCGCATCTAGCCTGGCCCCCGTGGTGGGTTCGGGTACCTTGGGGTAGGGGAGGGTGGGTTCGGGTACCGTGGGGTAGGGGAGGGTGGGTTCGGGTACCGTGGGGGAGGGGAGGGTGGGTTCGGTTACCTTGGGGTAGGGGAGGGCAGTCCCTCCCGCCCCCTGGCGAGTCGAGGCACACGCACGCTCTCTCGAGGTCTCTTGGAGCAGAGCCGCGGCGAGTCCTCGAGAGAGCAAAGGGGTCCTCGGAGAGGGTACCCTGGGTGGGCGGTGCCTCTGCCTGGCCTCTACTCTCCCGGCACATCTAGCCACACGGGCCGTCTTCGCGAGCTTCGGATTGGGCGGGTGCGGCGTGAAGCCGCAGGTGATCACCTCGGCGCAACGCGCCTACCGGGGAGGGATTGCGGAAAGGAGATTGCGGGAGATCCCGCCGGAGATTGCGGGAGATCCCGCCTGAGATTGCGGGAGATCCCGCCGGCGGGCCCAAGCTCTGTCTGCAGCAGCACCGGCCGGGCGCAGATGCGGAACGCCTCTCCCCGTCTCTAAACGCGCGCCGTGTCGGCCGTCCGGAAGATTGAGCCGACGTTGTACGCCGACCGGACATTGTCAAGTACCAAGTGGACGCGATGCGCCGGCAAACGCGCGCGGCCTGCGTCGACGGCCTAATCTCGGGCAATCTCGGGTCATCTCGGGCAATCTCGGGTAATCAGCGCGGCGCGCGTCGACCGCCGCGTCGTTGTTGCGCAAGTACGCGGCGGCCGCCGCGGCCTAGTACCACACCCTCCGGAGTGTCGAATCCGGTGTGGGTTCGGTCCCGTGGCTGTAGGGTGAGCGAGTGTGGGCGGCCGCCTGCTCGCGGAAGAGGTGGAGTATGTGGTGGGCGGCGCGCCTACGTACTCATGGGGCGATATGGGGAGGTATGGGGAGGTATGTGGTGGGTGGCGCGCCTACGTCCACAGAGAAAGAGCTCCGCTCAAGGCAGGTGCGCCTCTGCTAGTGCCTGAGCTGCTCACGCCACTACACTTGCGGGTCCCCGAGCCATGTGCGTGTGCGTCTGTGCGTCTGCGCGCCTCGCTGCCGGCAGCAACGCCTCGCCGTGGACGTCCTCCGCCCACCGCGCCACGAACGTCTCGTACACTCGGCTCGCAGGCGACGGCTCCTCCGCCGTCTCCAGCGCGGCGACCGCCGCCGCGTCTGCCCCGCCCGCCGCGAGCGCCGTGCGGAGGGCTGCCTGCGCAAACGCCTCGCCGCCGGCCGCGCCGCGCTGCTGCTCGAGCAGTGGGTCGGCCGCCTCGATGCTCACGTCGAGCACACCGCCCTCCCACGACGCCTCCGGATCGCCGTCGCCGAGGACGAGCAGCCGGGCTGAGCACGGCAGGAGCGGCGAGCCGTCTCTCACGGCAAGCGAGACAGTTTCGCCCCAGAGCCGACGCGGAGCCACGTCGCACGCCGGACCAACCGCAAGGATCGCCGGGTCGATGAGGGCGAGCCGGCAGCCGGATGGCGCGCGCACCGTGGCCAGTGCACTCGGCACGGGCGGCAGCGCGGCCACGAATTGATCGGTGACGTCATTCCACCCCGCGGCGGTGCCCGGCACGTCCACTGTGCGTCGCAGCGACATGCCGGGCTTGAGGCTGCATGCCGCGCCAGCGAGGACCAGGAGAGGCACAACCATTTCCCGGCTGCTGTGCGGCTCGATGGCGGCACAACGCGCGCCAATTTTGTCTTTCTTTTTCTCACGGTGCTCACCTCCCCTCCACACTGGGCGAGGTGTGCGTCCCCTCCTGCTCCGCGTTTGTTCTCGCGAAAAAACCAATAGCCAAAGAAAGAAAAACAAACCCCACAACCGATGAGCCGCCTCCCAACGCAGCTCGCCGACCTGGCGGTGGGCAAAGACATGGCGGTTCTCTTTTGGGGGCATGGGCCGATAATGCTCGCCGACCTCGCCGTGGGCAACCTGGCCTCGCTGCACGCCTTCCTCTCCGGGGAGCAGACGCACGGCACGTCGCTCGCGGCCCAGCTCGACGCGCGGCTCGACACCGAGCAGCAAGACACGCTGCTCACCTGGGCCGCTCGCCACGGGCAGGCCGGGGCGGTGCGGCTGCTGCTCGAAGCCGGCGCGAGCGTGGGGGCCGCTGACGGCGACGCCGCCTCGGCTCTCGTCCTCGCGTGCTGGCAGGGATGCCTCGAGTGCGCCCGGCTGCTCCTCGAGGCCAGGGCAGCGGTCAAGCAAGCTGCTGCGGGCGGCTCCACGCCGCTGCTCGTTGCGTGCGAGGAGGGCCACGTCGAGTGCGCCCGGCAGCTTCTTGAGGCCAGTGCGGCGGTCAATCAAGCAGACGATGGAGGCTTCACGCCGCTGTACGTTGCGTGCGAGCTGGGCCACCTCGAGTGCGTGCGGCTGCTTCTCGAGGCGAGCGCGGCGGTCAACCAAGCCAGGCAGAATGGCGCCACGCCGCTGCTCATCGCGTGCCAGAACGGCCACGTCGAGTGCGCCCGGCTGCTCCTCGAGGCTGGCGCGGCGGTCGGCCAAGCCTCGAACAACGGCGTCACGCCGCTGCTCATCGCGTGCGAGAAGGGCCACGTCGAGATCGTCCGGCTGCTCCTAAAGGCCGGCGCGGCGGTCGACCAGGCCGATGATGAAGGCGCCACGCCGCTGTTCATCGCGTGCCTGGAGGGCCAGCTCGAGATCGTTCGGCTGCTCCTCGAGGCTGGCGCGGCGATCGACCAGGCCGATGAGCAGGGCGCCACGCCGCTGTTCATCGCGTGCCACCATGGTCACCTCGAGGTCGTCAAGCTCCTCTCCTCCTACGGCGCATCCCGCGCCGCAACGCCGCCCTACGGCACGCCGGAGGTGCTCGCAAACCGCCGCGGCCACGCCGACCTCGCTGCTTGGCTGGTCGCCAGCCGCGGCTGGACGCCGCTCCAGCATCTCGAGGCGCTCACCGTCGACCGGGCGCGGGCGCTGCTGCGCGGCGGCGCAGACTCTTCAGCCGGCGAACCTTCGGCCCTCGAGCGGGCGCGCGTCCTCTGCTCGTGGGGCGAGTCGGATCCGACCGCTGCGGCCGTCGGTTCCACAGTCACGATCCACTCTCTCGTCTCGCGGCCCTCGATGAACGGCAAGGTCGGTGTCGTCGTTTCCGCGCATCCTCGTGGGCTGCGGAGGTGGCCTCCGCAAAGGCCTCCGGCAAGGTCGGCCCCGTCGTTCAAATTGAGCGTGGCGGGCGAGGCTTCTGGACTCCTTCTTGAGCCGGCCAACTTGCAGCCAGCGGCCGAGGCGGTGGAGGTGGGCAGGCTCATCCTCAAGGCGGCGGAGTGGTCACCGCAGTCGCACGCGCTCTTCCCAACAGCGGCTCGCAAGTGGGCGGTGGAGGTGATGCGGCTGGGCTACCTTATCGCGTGGGACGAGGAGCGCTTCGATGGCCGCGAGGGAGCGGCTCCAGAGCTGGCGGACATCTGGCGCAGCTTTGTGCTGCCAAGGGTGGTGGTGCGATGACGGCACATTATGTGTTTTCTTCGTGGCGCCAAACCCCGTTCGTGCATGATTGCGCGCGCGTCGACATTGCTCTGTCGGATACCGTTTCTTCTTTCTGTCACGGACACGGTGGTGTCGTCGGTCGGTGCGCACCTCCACCCCTCCACACACTTGTCACTTCTCACTTGGGCGAGGTGTGCGTCTCCTGCGCCGCGCATGGGGAACGCATTTTTTCTTCTTTTGGCACAGTATATGAGCGGCGCCATTGATTCCCTCCACTTAGACTTGCGCCACGCGTCCTAAAACCTCTAAAAAACCTTCCAGGCCCTAGCTCACCGTGCCCCATATATGCATCCGCCCGACCGACCAGGGCTCGCGCTCCGCATCCTTGCCTGTGAGCGGTACATCTCGCGCCGATTGATGCCGTTGTTCTCATACGGGAAGCCGTGGTGGAGGACTTGCGTGTTGTCCCAGATGAGCAGGTCGCCGAGCTCCCACGTGTGGAAGTACGTGAACTCGGGCGTCTCTGTCGTGTGCGCCAGCAGTCTCGTCAGCAGCACCCTCCCGTCCTCAGCGCTCTCCATCCCCTCCACTTCCATTGCATGCGAGCCCAGGTAGAGGAGAGCGCCGCCGTCGAGCAGATGTGTCGAGAGCATGGGGTGGCTCACGTCGGGAAAGAGGGCAAGATCCTCCTCGGTCCCCTTGGCAAAGTCGGCGATGTTGCGCACCGACGCGCGGATGGAGCAACGTGCTGCCTCCTCGAGCAACGAGGTGGACAGCGTGGCGCGCGCAGCGCGCAAGTCGGCGAATCCGGTCTGGCCGCCCGACGGCGGCAGCGCAGCGCTATAGAGCATGGACATGATGTTATGCAAAGGCGCCTGCCAGAATTGGCCATCCTGGTGCCAGTACGTCCCGAAGACGCCTGCAGGACCCTTCCAGCTCCCGTCCGCCCAAAAATTTGTGACGCGCTGGATCGCTGGTTGGTTTGGCTCTGGGTCTCGGCCCTCAAAGCTCGGCGGCAGGATGATCGTCTCGCCAAGCATGCCAGTGAATCTGACCTGTTCGGCGCGAGTGAGTTGCTGGCCTTTGATGACTATGATCCCGTGCGCACGAAGCGCGTCCAGTACCAGCCCCGCGCCCTCCTCGTCCAGCTCGCGCACGTCGCCAACGTCCACGACCGCTCCAAGCCGCTCTGAGCCACCACGCATCGATCCCTGCCGGTGAAGCGCGCACGGAAATCGCGGTGGAAGCGCACCGAAAAACTCTGTCGTTCCCAAGCGCTCTGCAGACGACAGAGCGCGCGCAGCTCGTGCCGCTGCGAGGCGGCCGACCATGGGGGAGAGGAGAGGAGAGGGAACTGCGGCGCCGACATTTTTTTTTTTGAGAGTGCCTTCGTTGTTATTAATAGTACAAACCCAATGGTCCCTTGCGAGCGGTCCGTCGTTGCAGTCGCACACACTCACACGCCACGCCGCACCGCGCGCCCACCCGCTGCCCCGCCCAGGCGGGAAAGAGATGGGGAGATGGGACAGCGAAGGAGGAGTACGAGCACGTATGGGAGGGGAATAACAACGGTACGACGGTCCTAACAGAATTTTTCTTTTCGTATCTTTCTCGCTCCTTCTTTCTCTCACTCCGCGCCCTCATTTCTTTAATGCTCTCAGCCTCTTTCTCTTCGTCTTCGAATCACCGCCCCCCACCGCGCTTCACCGCCCTACAGTGGGTTGCGGGCATTAAGAAAACAGGATTTCGCGGCACGCCGCCGTTTCTAAGCCTTTCCACAGCCCTCATCCACCCCACGCCGTGGTTTCTTAGCTCCGGCCGGGGCACTCAAGCCAGAGCGCCGGCCCGAAGGATTTTTTAGGTAAGAGGTAAGCTGCGGTCCGCGAGGGCGATGCCAGAGTCTGCCGCCGAGTCGGCTCTCTGTCTGGATACTGGATGACGGGAAGACGCACACACGCCTCCATTCACTCCATCCACTCAGAACACCGCAGACTTGGAAAGTGACAAGTGCGCGCGCCGCAGGCGAAGAGAAATTTTGAGCTGGGCCTCCCGTTCACACTCGTGTCTGGCCTTTTCTCGGGGCCGCGCCTGCGGCGCGCCGTGGTTTCTTAGATTTTTGCGGAAATCGCTTGGTAGGGTTTCTTAATGGTACGTTTTCTTAATGCCCGCAACCCACTGTATGCGCATGTCTTGTCGCCCTAGGGGCTCGGGCCCCGGCCTGAACTCCTCACTGCACTGTTTGCAGAATGTCCCGTTGTAATGTGAATGCGTTGTTTCTTGTTTGAGTTCTCATTTCTTTAGTTACCAACCCTCGCAATGCCTCTCGCTTGTCCAGGGGATGTGCGGGGCATGAGCCGCTGCCAACTGTGCGCTGCTAAGACTCCGCCGCGGTCTCGAGATCTCGTGCCTCTTGACCCCGCGCTAGGCGGTCTTCTGCCGGAGTCGTTGCAGCCCTACGCCGACGAGAGGTGGCAAACGCTCACCTACGGGCCTGGTCCACCTCGCAAAGTGCAAGAGGAGGGTGCTTAACGCGCAGGCCAAGGAGGCAGCACCAGAGGCGGAGGGCTTGCGACTGCACCTCTCGCACACCAGTAGCACCGGGTACAGAGGAGTGTGGCGGCTCGCCTCTGGCCGATTTGTGGCGCACCGGGACCGTGCGCACCGGAGGACGATGCGCCCGGCGGACGGAAAGAAGGCGTCCATCGGCTACTTCGACACGGCAGTGGAGGCGGCGGTGGCGTATGCGCGGGCGGTCGGCGAGGCGGCGGCGGCGGCGGGCAAGGCGTCCGACTCGGACGAGCGCGAGCCAGGCGGCGAAGCTGCGGCTGCCGAGAGCAGCGACGCGGGCGAGCCAGCCGAGCGCCAAGCGGCGGAGGTGGTGGCAGAGGCGGAGGGCTTGCGCTTGCACCTCTCCAGCAACAACAGCACCGGCTACAAGCGCGTGTCCAAGCAGGCCTCGGGCCGCTTCAAGGCGCAGCGCCAGGGGTATGTCACTATCGGCACCTTCGACACGGCGGTGGAGGCGGCGGTGGCGTACGCGAAGGCGGCCGGCGAGTACCAGCCTCCTGCTCAACCTCCTCCGATAGTGGCGACAGAGGCGGAGGGCTTGCGTCTGCACCTCTCGAGCAGATGCAGCACCGGCTACTTAGGCGTGTTCGAGCACCGCTCCTCTGGCCGCTTCGAGGCGCGGCGCAGTGTGGACGGAAGGCAGGTCACCATCGGCTACTTCGGCTCGGCGGTGGCGGCGGCGGTGGCGTACGCGCGGGCGGTTGGTGAGGCGGCGGCGGCGACGGCAGGAGAGGCAGGGCCGTCGGCAGCGGCGGCAGGCGAGGCGTCCGACTCGGGCGAGGGCGAGCCAGGCGGCGCTGGCGGCGAGGCTGCAGCCGGCGAGAGCAGCAGCGAAGAGGAGGAGGAGGCTGCCTCGACGCCCCTCCGAGCTCCGAGCTGCAAGACGCTTGGCTGCAACCTCCGCCTCTGGCACGAGGGGCCTTGCAGCACCGCCGTCACAGGCAAGCGGGCGCGAATTCTCACCGACAAGGCGCGGGAGGCGAAGCGAGGCAAGGGCGGCGGCGGGCGGCGCGGCGGCGGCGGAGGCGGCAGCAGCAGCGTGCTGCTATCACCCTCGAGCGACGGCGCGCCTTCGCCGCCCGACGCAGAGGCGCTGAGCGATAGCGACGAGGTGGAGGAGGTGGCGCCGCCGCGTCAAAGCTCCGCCGCCGCCGCTCCTTCGCTCGCAGGCGGCGACGTGCAAATCTCCGCCGCATCAGGCGCTCCCAAGCCATACCCGTCATGACTTCTGTCAGATGCACTCTCACCCTCCCTTGCTTGCGCCGCACAGGCCTGCTGCCCGAGCATTTGCCGCACCAGCGGGCGCTCTGCCCTCTCCACCCCTTCCATGCGGCCGAGAGGCCGGTCGCGGCGCCTGTCGATGGCAACGAGGCGGTTTGCCCCAACTGCTATTGCTTCGCGTGCGACGCGCCCGTGTCCGCGTGCCGCCACTGGCGGGGCGGCGAGCCTAGGGTGCCGGCGCACTGCAACGCGCACGCCGACAGCGCCGAGTGGCGCACGCAGCGCTCCAACGCCAAGCGGCAGCGCACGCGGGCGGCGCGGGCGGCGACGGACCCGCTCGGGCTGGGCTGATACTATCATGTCTCTATCTTTGGGCAACACTGTGTGCATCTTAGCAGCGCTGACACGCCGCACCCTGGGGCCGTGCCCGCGGGCCGCGCAGTCAGTGCGGCGCTCAAAGTCAAACTCCAAAAACTCACCAAATATCCCTAGAGCATGTGGGGCGCGCGGGCTTTTTTTTATGTTCTCCCTTCTCACGTTGTTCAATTGCTCTCGTTGAGTCTGGCCCTTTCAGGGTTCACTCTACGATTTTCGTTGCGGCTCGTCGCTGTGCCGGGGATGGCGCAAATAGAAAAAGAAATCTGGCGCCGGCCAAGCGACTCACAGGACACAGCCCTCCAGCCGAGCAACTGTGTGCGAGACACCAGCCAGGGCTCTACGACCTACGTGACCTGCCCCGCGCCCCAGCGCTGCAATCCCAGCGCGGCTAGCGGCGGCGCGCGAAGGCGCGCATTCTCCTCGCGGAGCGCGGCGTTCTCCTCGCGCAAGGCAGCAACCTCCTCCCGCCCCGCCTCGATCAGCGAGCGCACCTCGTGCCGCTGCGCCTCGAGCTCGCGGATGAGCTCGACCTGCGCGCGAGCCGCGGGGAGCGGGGCGTGAGTGCGGGTCGGAGGGCTGTCATGTGAGGGTGGTGGCCGCAGCGGTGGCAAGGGGGGGGGGGGTGGCGAGGGTGGCGGCGAGGGCGGTGGAGGTGAGGGCGGTGGCGGCGAGGGCGGCGGCGAGGGAGGAGGCGGCGAGGGCGGCGTCTCGGTGGAATCTCGGCGAAGAGCCGTCGTGGCGAGACGACCTGCACGACCGCGCATCTCTTTGAGCAAACTCGGAAGCCTCGGGTCATCTCGGGCCATCTCGGGCCATCTCGGGCCATCTCCGAAGGCCTGCACTGCGCGCATCTCCTCGCGCAAACTCGCGCGCAGCTCGAGTAGCGACCCGTCGAGCGCCGCCTACAGGAAGGTTCCAGGAAAGCTCCAAGAAAGCTCCAAGAAAGGTCTGGAAAGGTCGACGGGCAGACGTCGAGCGCCGCCAGAGAGATGCCCGCACCACCCTCGGCCAAAGGGGTTGCTCCGGCGGCGGCGTCCGCGGCGGCGGACGCTGCGGCCGCCGCCGCGGCCGCCGCGGCGTTCGCAGCGGTCGGCGAATCGCAATCCCGAGCCGGCGCGGGCGGCGGGTGCGGCGGTGTCGGCGCGGCGACGCTTCGCGCGGCTTCCTTGAGCCAGTCGGGCGTCGCGCCTACTTTCCCTCGACGAGGTCATTGTCGCTCCCTTGCCGTAGCCGTGGCGCGGCATCTGGCAGCGCGAGCGCCACAGGCACGAGAAGCACGCGCCGCCGCCGCCGCCGCCCCACCGCCCGCCGACACGACTCGCGGGCCGGAGCTGGCCGGAGACATGCCGACCGTGGCGGCCCAGCGCGCGGGATTCGCCACCGCCGCCGCCCCTGCGGCCGGCTCCGCCTCCGCCGCGGCACCGTGCGCCGCCACCGCGGCCGCTCGCGCCGGCGGCGGCGCGGATGCGCGGAGCAGCGGGGAGGAGCTGATGCCGCCAAAGGATGGCGACGGGCGGGGCGAAAGAGAGCCGCCCAACAACGCGCCCGAGCAGACCTCCCGGGGGGTCCCCTCGGCGGCGGCGGCGGCGCCGACGGCTGCGGCGGCGGCTGCGGTTGCGTTTGCGGCGGCGGTTGCGGCGGCGGCGGCGGCGGCGGCGGCGGCTGCGGCGGGCGGCGTCGTCGCAGCCTCCGCCGCAAACGCAGCCGCGCGTACCGCGGCAGCCTTAACTGCCAACGACGCCTCGGCAGCGGCCGAGGGCAGCTCGGCGGCGGCGTCGGCGGCGTCGGCGGCGGCGTCGGCGGCGGCGTCGGCGGCGGCGGCGTCGGCGGCGGCGGCGGCGGCCGGCCGCAGC